CGCCCCTCCCCGACGCCGGCTCCCCTCGCGCGGTTGGGGGCGGGGCCGTTGCTCGTGGGGAAACGAAACCGAATGGGCGTTCTAGGCCAGGGTGGAGAAGGAAAGGGAAACTCGGCGACAGCAGCTTGGGAGGCGGCCAGAGTACATCAGTCGCTGGCAGGGGTCGGGGGCGAGCGCGACAGAGCAGGCGTCCCTGGCTCGCACGGCGGCCTGAACTCCAGGAAGGAACGGCTTTCGGGGAACACTGCTGCTCCCCAGGAGGCGGCCCGGCACGTGCCGACCTCAGCAGCGCCCAGAGAGTAGTGACAACGCAAGCGAAAGTCTGCCCAGCGTTCTGCTCAGGGCGCGGGCCACGATGAGCCTGAGGGCTGTGCAGTCAGTACGTCTCCCTCCTCCCACACATACACTTTGGTGCCTGGCAGTTATATGCTTTCTGCTTTGTGTTTTGTTTGTTTTTTATAGAAACGTGGGCTCCCTCTGATGCCCAGGCTAGTCTTGAACTCCTGGACTCAAGCAATCCTCCTGCCTTGGCCTCGCAGAGTGCTGGGATTGTAGGCGTGAGCCATCACGGCCTGGCCTGCTTTCTGTTAATATAATTTGGCCTTTTCTAGAATTCATACAACTGAATTCATACACCTAAGTGATCTTTTATGTCTGGCTTTTTTTTTTTTTTAGCATAATTTTTTTGGCTTGTTTTTGAGTTGGGGGGTCTCACTCTGTAGCCCAGGTTGGAGTGCAGTGGCACTATCTCAGCTGTACGACAGCCTCGACCTCCTGGGCTCAGGCGATCCTTCCACCTCAGCCTCTCAAGTAGCCGAGACTACAGGCACACCATCATGCCTGGCTAAATTTTTTAATTTTTTTGTAGAGACGAGATCTTGCTATGTTGACTATATTGGTTTCAAACTCCTGGGCTCAAACAATCCTGCCACCTAAGGCCCAAAGTGCTGGGATTATAGGCGTGAGCCACCGCACCTGGCCTAGCATTTTATATATATGTTCTAGTGGGTTGAAATGTTATCTCACTGTAGTTTTACTTTGCCTTTTCTTAGTAACTAATGATGTTAGTATTACACCTAAAGATGGTGAACAGCTTTTCTTTTCTTCTTTTTAAACAGGGTCTTGCTCTGTTGCCCAGGCTGAAGTGCAGTGGCACAATCATAGCTCACTGCAGCCTCGAACTCCTGGGCTCAAACAATCCTGCCTTGGCCTCCCAAAGTGCTGTGATTACATGCAAGAGCCACTGAAACCCCTCCCCACCCACCCCCAGTAATAATGTCTTTGAGATTCATTCTGCTGTGTTTCAAGAAGTTGCCTCCCTGTTATTGTTGAGTGGTATTCTATTGTATGGATATACCACAGTTTATCCATTCACCAACTGATGGGCGTGTCAGGTACAGGAGCCAAAAAGAGCAAATGTCCCCTTCGCCCTCTGAAGTTTCGCTGAAAAAAAAATCCCCTGACAAAAGGCAGATTAATAGGAGAAACAGCATGCAAATTTATTATCAGGCATGGGAGAGAACCACAGAGATACCACCCCAACCCCATAATGGGGTTCAGAGGTCTATATACACCATTTTGATATTACAGAAAGAATGAGGGTTTGGAGCATGGCCAGAATAGATTATGGTGCTAAATCAGGTGGAGGCGGGGAGAAAGAGGCTTGGCTAGCAAGGGGTGTCTTGTTATGTAGATAAAACATCACAGGAAGCAGCCCTTAGAGAGAACAGATGGTAGATGATGACCTGTAAAGGAGGCCAGGTACAGTGTAATCCCAACACTTTGGGAGACTGAGGCGTGAGAATCGCTTGAGCCGAGGAGTTCAAGACCCGCCAGGACAACAAAGCAAGACCCCGTCTCTACAAAAAAATTTAAAAATTATCTGGACATGGTGCACACCAGTCCCAGCTACGTGGGAGGCTGGGAGGAAGGATCGCCTCAGCCCAGGAGGTCAAAGCTGTGGTAAACTGTGGGTACAGCCGGGCAACAGCATGAGATCCTGGCTCAAAAAAAAAAAAAAGGTGTCAGGCTCTCAGTTCATCTTTCCTAGATCCAGACAAGGAAGGGCGTCAGAGAAAACCTGGCTGTATCAATGCAGATCTTCTCTGCAGATGCATATCTCCACCCTTCCCCTCCAGACAACTTTTTAGCTATTCTTGTACTTGAATAACCATCCTGAAATAAGTCAAAGAAGTAAATTTTGGGGTGAAATATTTTGATTTCCTTCAAAGTCCTTTCCAGTTTGGGGCTACAATGAATAGAGCTTGTATGAACATTTGTGCACTAGTCTTTGAGTAGACAAATGTTGTTATTTATTTTGGATCTAGGAGTGGAATTGCTGTATCATGTGCTAAACACATGAATGTCTTTATAAGAAACTACCATACTTTTCCAAAGTGCTGTACCATTTTTCATTTCCTCTAGTAATTGGAGAGAGTTCCAGCATATGTGTGTGTGTGTCACACACATATATAGTGTCAAAAAAGTATACATATTTTAAGAAAGGAAAAAACTATTAAAATTGTAATACTCAATGAGATGAATATGAGTCATGTTTGACTTCTGCAATTACAAGAGGTGTTCAAAGTAGTTACCATCAGTGTTCAGACACTTCTGATTACAGCAAACATCTCTTAACATGTATATACGTTTTTTTGGCATCTCCCCGCAGCGCACGCGCATGTGTGTCTGTGTGTGTGTGTGTGTGTGTGTGTGTGTGGTGTGTGTGGTGTGTAGTTGGTATTATCAGTCTTTTTAATTTGGGCGATTGTAATGGCATTTCATTACGGTTTAATTTGCATTTCTCTAATGACTAATGATGTTGAGCAGCATTTCACGTGCTCATTTCCTATCTCTGTCTCTCCCTTGGTGAAGTGTCTAGTCAACTCTTCTGCCCATTTATTCATTAGATGGCTTGATATTATCGGGAGTTCTTTTTTGTATTATATTTGAGTTTTTATGTTTCATGTCATGTTCTTCATTAGTTATATATTTTGAATGTTTTCTACCAATCTGTTATTTGCTTTTTCATTTTATTTTAATTTCTTTATGTTAAAGATGTGGGATACAATTCAGGGTTAGGCATACATATGTTCATTATAGGTACCCTTGTTGATGAAGTGCCCCCCCCAGCAGTTTCCCACTACTGCCAATCCCGCCCCCCAATCCCTGGAAGTTTCCCAATACTGCCAATCCTTTTCTTATAATATATAGTATTACAATACTTGTTCAAGGTGTGCTTATGAGTGAGAACATATGATACTCAGTTCTTTATTTCTGTGACAGATTACTCAGGAAGCCGGGCGCAGTGGCTTAAGCCTGTAATCCCAACACTTTGGGAGGCTGAGGTGAGGGGATTGCCTGAGTCCATGGGTTCGAGAACAGCTTGGGCAACTTGGCGAGATCTCATCTCTACAATAAATTAAAAACTTAGCCGGGTGTGGTAGCGCACGCCTGTAATTCTGGCTACTTGGAAGGCTAAAGCGGAAGGATCCCCAGAGCCCAGCAAGTCGACGCTGGGGTGGCCATGAGCGTGCCACTGCACTCCAGCCTAAGCGACAGAGTGAGACTCCAACTAAAAATAAATAAATAAATAAATAAATAAATAAATAAATAAATAAATAAATAAAAATAAATAAAATATAGATCACTCGGTATTATAGACTCTAAGTCCATCCAAGTTGCTGTGAAGTTCATAATTTTGTCCTTCTTTGTGGCTGCATAATGATCCATCGTGTACATGTACCACATTTTTTTTAATCCAATCCTCTTCTGATGAGCAGCACAGTTGGATCCATGTGTTTGCTATTGTGAACAATGCTACAATAAACATGCGTGTGCAGGTGTCTTTTTCATAGAGTGATTTGAGTTCCTCCAGGTATATTCCCAGTAGGGGGATTGTGAGGTTGTATGGAAGGTTGATTTTTAAATCTCTTAGGAATCACCACATTGTTTTCCAGAGGCTGTACTAGTTTACACTCCCACCAACAGTGTAGAAGTATTCCCTTTTCCCGCATCCACTGCAGTATCTGTTGTTTTTTGTTTTGTTTTGTTTTGTTTTGTTTGAGTTGGAGTCTCACTCTGTCACCCAGACTGGAGTGCAGTGGCCGCTCCCGGCCACCGCAGCCTCGACCTGTTGGCCTCCGGCGACCCTTCCTCCTCAGCTTTCCAAGTAGCTGGAACTACAGACGCACGCTACCACGCCTGGCTAATTTTTTTAATTTATTGTAGAGACGAGGTCTCGCCAAGTTGTCCAGATGGGTCTCGAACCCGCGGGCTCAGGCAATCCACTCACCTCAGCCTCCCAAAGCACTAGGATTACAGGCTGAGGCATGAAGCCCGGCTTCTGTTGTTTTTTGAGTTATTGATTATGACCATCCTGACTGGAGTTAGGTGGTATCTCAGTGTGATCTTAATTTGCATTTCTTTGATGACTAGTGAGGCTGAGCATTTTTTTCAGGTATCTGTTGGCTGCTTGTATATCTCCTTTTGAGAAGTGTCTCTTCATACCTTTTTCCCACTTTGAAATGGGGCTGTTTTTTTCTTTTGGGCACGTTTGAGTTCCTTGTAGAACCTAGATATTAGGCCTTTGTCAGATATGCAGTTGGCAAATATTTTTTCCCAGTCTGTGGGCTGACTGCCCACTCTCTTTTGGGATCTTTGGCTTTGCAGAAGCTTAAGGTCCCACTTGTCCATCTTATCTCTTATGGCATGGGCACTTGGGGTTTTAATCAGGAATTGGCTGCCAGTTCCAATTTCCATAAGGGTGTCTCCTGCATTTTGTAAGGTTCCTATAGTTTGAGGTTTTACGTTTAGCTCTTTGATCCATTTAGAGTTGATTTTTGTGTATGATGATAGGTAGGAGTCTTGTTTTAATCTTCTGTATGTGGTCAGCCAGTTTTCCCAGCACTATTTACTGAATAGGTTCTCCTCTTCCCAGTGGTTGATGGTGGAGACTGTGTCGAAGATGAGTTGGTTGAGAAATTGAGGTTTTGTTTCTGGAATCTCTATCCTATTCCATCGGTCTATATACCTGTTCTTGTACAAATACCAGGTTGTTTTGATTATTGTAGCTTTATAATAAAGTTTAAGGTCTCCCACTTTGGTTTTTTGTTTGTTTTTGGTTTTTTGCTGAGGATTGTTTTGGCTATTTGTGGTCATTTATGCTTCCATGTGAATTCTTGTATTGTCGTTTCCAGGTCTGAGAAGAATGCTGTTGGTAATTTAATGGGTATTACATTAAATCTGTAGATTGCCTTGGGTAGGATGGACATCTTAACAATGTTGATTCTTCCAATCCATGATCATTGAATATTTTTCCATTTGTTTGTGTCATCTTTGATTTCTTTGAGCACTGTTTTATACTTTTTGTTGTAAAGGTCTTTCATGTTTCTGGTTAGGAAGATCCCAAGGTATTTCTTTCTTTCTTCTTTTTTTTTTGTGGCTATTGTGAATGGGATTGTGCTTTTTATTTGGGTTTCTGTTTGTTTATTGTTGGTGTATAGAAATGCAAATATCTTTTGCACATTTATTTTATACCCTGAGACTTTCCAAAGTCCTTTATCCGTGCAAGAAGGTTTTTGACAGATTCTCTTGGGTTTTCGAGGTATAGAACCATGTTGTCTGCAAAGAGGGATAACTTGATTTTCTCTTTTCCTATTTGGATAACCCTGATCTCCTTCTCTTATCTGATTACTCTAGCTAGTACTTCCAAAACTGTGTTGAAAAGGAGAGGTGAGAGTGGGCATCCTTGTCTTGTTCTGGCTTTCAGGGAAAATGGTTCCAATTTCTGTCTGCTTAGCAGTATGTTGGCAGGGAGTTTCTCATAGATGGCTCTTATTATTTTCAAGTATGCTCCATCTATGCCTAGATGTTCGAGGGTTTTTATCAAGAAGGGGTGCTGAGTTTTATCTAAACATTTTTCTGCATCTAATGTTATAATCATGTGGTTTTTGTTTTAGAGACAGGAGATAGCTAGAGAAAGCCTAGGCAGACAGACAGGCGGCTCCTCTTGTAACAATGTAGTGAACTCCTGGAAGGCCTCTCAGCCTCAGCATTGGTAAACAGGCTCCCTACAAGCCTCTCAAGCTAGAGCTTTAGGTATTCACTGCTGGGATTGAAAAGCAACCAATCAGCTCACCATTAGGCCCTTACCTCATGCTGATTGGTCCTTAATACTGACCAATCAGAACAGCTACAGCTCACAGCTAGTGCTAGCCAATCGGCTTGGACTTAGGGCTATATAAACACCAGGTTTTCAGCCCGAGATGTGCAACCTCTTCAGGTATCTTCCCAGTAAGGGTGATTCTGTGTCTTCTCAATAAATCCTTCTTTCTCACTTCCGGCTGTCTGTGTCCCCCATTCTTCCTGGGCATGAGACAAGAACCTGAAGAGCTGCAGAAGATCGTCGGAGCTGAAAAGCTGTGTGCCCCAGAGGCTGGCTTGCCAGCCGACAGAGCTGGCTGAACCAGGAGAGCTGCTGGAGCAAGTTGAAACTTCAAAGCTGAGACACTTCAGGGGGCTAGGCTTTGCCAGCCCACCAAACCAGCAACACTCTCAGAGCTTGGCTTGCCAGCCCATTAGAGCCAACACTCCAGGGGCTAGGCTTGCCAACCCACCGAATTGCAACACTCTCAGGGCTTGGCTTCGCAGCCCATTAGAGCTGACACTTCTGGGGCTAGGCTTAACAGCCCCTCAACAACCCCCTCTGGGGCTTGGCTGGCCAACCCATTGAACTGACACTCTGGAAGCCCAGGCTGACCTGAAAAATCCACATCAGCTTTACATCTTTTTCATGTTATTAAAGGCATCTTTTGAAGAGCTGAAGTTTTACATTTTGATGTAGTTTCCCGATTTTCTCTTTCACATGGTTCATACCTCTTTTTGTCCTACTTAAGAAATCTTTCCTAAACACAAGATTACAATAATTTTTTTTCATTTGTTATTTTCTAGGAGTTGTATAATTTTAGGTCTTTGTTATATTCCAAGTGAATTATTATTTACTGTGTGAGGTAAGATTAGAGGTTCATTTCTTTCCTTATGGATTTCCAGTTGTTTCTGTTTGCCTGTCCCCACTGAATTGCCTTGATATCTTTTTCAAAACTCATATAATGTAACCCCAGAACTAGGCCAAACTGGGCCTATTCCGTTGATAACAAAATGTCAAATTACCTTGTAGGTATAAAAAAAAAAAGAAAATTTAAAAAAAAAGTCAATGTTGTGTATGAAAACAAACAAAAAAGTTGTAACAGAGCCAAAACTGTGAGTCATATTGTTACCAACAGTCATCCTTGCCCCCAAATGGGTTTTTTTTTTCCTGTCTGGTTTGAAACCAACATACACAACCAAAAGTGGGGGTCAAAGAGAGCAGGCTCTGATTCTATGACCGCAAAACCGAGAAGTGAGAACATGGTTCGCAAATCACCTTCTCACTGGGTGATAGGTGAGGTGGTTAAAATATAAGGTTTCTTTAATGAAGAGGTTGGACATTAAAAGTAAGGGAGAAGTATTCATGTCTTTTCAGGGACAGACAGAGAGTTCCCAGAATTCGGATCATGCCTCCTTCTGTTTTTTTGGTCTTAACTGTCTGGCCATTGAGGGGTATGTCATTTAGTATAGAAAGCATATTATAACAAGGTTAAAGTTTCTTCAGAGGTCAGATTAGCTGCCATCTTGGATCTCAC